AATTCTCTGTAAATTACTTTGTCAATTCTCAGAAAATTACTCAGTGAATTTCAAGTAAAATCCCATGTATTCGTTTTCGTTTTGAAGGACTCCGGCTATATTCATGCAAACCTTTATTTTTAGTACCATTCACTGAGTTTTGTACTCACCCCTCTATATATATGTAGGTGATGAGCAGGACGGCGGCGACGCCTAGTTCGTTTTGGATGCTTGTTTTGGATGCGTGTATATGTCGGCCTTACTTTTGTATTTACGTCGGCGATGCCCTGTTTTGCACGTCGGCAGATCTTGAAAATCATGTTTCTTGAATTGTATTAACTGTATTTTGTATATGTCGGCTCGAGAAGCCTTCTGATCAAGATGTGATATGAAATCTTACTTGTTGTATTCAAGTTGTAAGTTAATTGAAAATGTTTGGCATTGCTTTGATCTACGCACAGCTCTTTGGACTACTTGTATTTAAATTATCGCTTCCGCATTTGTTAGCCCCGATTATTATTATACTCTGATTGTGTTAAGTTTTGAGAAGTTGGCCTTCGGTAATTACGGATTACTGGCCATCACGGCACCAAACTACTAGGGGCGGTTTGGGGTCGTGACACTGGGTTTGGGGTTGTGACGAGCTTTGATGCGGGAGAGAAGGGTTTTCGACATGAGAGAAAAAATGAGGTTTGGGGAGTCATTTGCTACTTCGAAAGTCTTGTTCCTTTCATTGTTCCACACTTGCAAGTTGCAACAGTAGTACATGGATACAACTAATGAGGAGTGGGACGGTGGTTCAAATTTCATTTCCCCCATTCATCTTTCAAATTTTCCCCCAAATTTTTGGCGATCAAAAGATTAAATTAGTCGCAAAAATAGGTTCTTTCGCCGACAAATTTTTTTGGTCGCCAAATCTCAATCAACGGCGACTAAAATATTAGTCGCTAAAAGTACTAATTTGGCGACTAATTTTTTTTGGTCGCTGAAAATAAGTTTTTCGCGACCAAATTTTTGGTCGCCAAAAAATATGTGACCTTCCGCGACCAAATTTGTAATTGGTAGGCAAAAGTATACCACTTTCTGCGACCAACATAATTTTTTGGTTGCCAAAATATAACCTTCTGCGACCAATAATATTTGGTCGCCAAAAATAATGATCATTCGCGACTAATTAATATTTGGTCGCCAAATGTCATTTTTTTGCGACTAAAATTTTTTTGGTCGGCAAAAGTGGTCGCAAAATGTGTAAATTCTTGTAGTGATTGTAATATCATATATGAATAAATAAATTTTAAAAAAAACACCTGTAACCTTTACATATGTTGGAGAAATATATAGTGTGCACCCTTAAAAAATGCCTCACAATAAGAAAGTTTTGTGGTAAAAGTTACAAATGTTTGTGGTGTGTTATGCCACTTTGTGGTAAATCTATTGTGTGTGCCTCTAAAGTACATTTTTAATTTCTATAATTTGATTCAAATCTTATTTTACTCCCTACATTTTAACTTTAGTTTCACTTTGATTTTTATTTTTTTTTAATTTGAGGTTAAAATTAACAATTTTATAACACTATCTTCTAAGGTGTACTAGTACAAAAAATTAACAAAAATTTAGATCAAAGAACCATCTGAAACTGGACTTACAGTATAAGAACTAAATTATTCAAATTAAAATAATAGGGCCAAAGTGAAATTTAAAATGTATTTTATCCTATCATAAATAAATCTTAATCGTTTATTTATATGAATTTCAAGTAAATCTCGCATAAATAAACAATTTGAATTTATTTATGGCATGACTGTTACTATCATATGTAATAGTGAATAATTGCTCACCAAACTCACTTATTAAATGGTTCATGACTTCTATTAAAACTAGAACATGAATGAATGGTACAATGTTTGAAATTTGATCCTCCACAAAATTGTGGAAGTTTGGAGCAATTACCAAATAAGATTGGTATGATGATAAGGCAAATTACATTTTATCTTTTGAACTATCACTTACTTTTTTCCATAACTAAATAATATAAATTTTTTGTCAAGAATTTATGTGACTTATACATGATATCCGAAATATTACAAAATGTCTGAAATAACTTTATTTTCTTCTATTCATGATAGCAATCATGATACTCCTAGGGTAAGCAACTATGATTGCTAATGAGGCAAAAAAAATATATATATATATAAACAACAAAAAAATAAAGAAAATAAAAAATAATTATTTTAAGTATTTCACAATATTTTCATGTAATATTTACTCATAATTTCAGTGACATGTTTGGACGTCAATTTGTCTAACCATAAATACAAATGACGCAATAATAATATATAAGGCGAGTAATAATAGGGATTCCGAATAATCTATCAAGTTTTTTACCAAATCTCTCACATGGGTGTGGGATAAATTATTTGCGATTCATAGCATTTTCCATATATAAGGTTGTTGTGGAGGGAATAGGTAAAACTTCACAAAGCTGACTTGGAGTCAGATTAGTGGGGGCTATGTTTGGATTTTCAAACTAAAAAGAAAAGTCTTTAAAGAAGGTCCAAAAATTTAAAAACACACGAAGCAGGCTTTCAAAATCAGGTTATTGTGTTGAGTAGTAATTAAATAATTTTCAAAGGGGGATGGCTATTGAATAGAACTAGTTAACTACTACTAATCCACTTGGTTTTAGATTTAACTATTCTAGTTGTTAGGCAAATGCTAACAATTATTCTGATTATGGGTTGGTGAAAAATGTTTTATAAATAAGTCAAAAGTGTTAAAAAAGTTTTATAATTGGTGAAAAAAATTTTGAAACTCTTTTTGTCATGTTGTAGGAGCAACAAAAACCTTTATTATTAATATTATATTCGATAATCAGTATAAATTTAATGAATATTATAAAATTAAGTTATAAATGCACCATTTTTTCACATTATTTTATACTACGAATTTACAATGAAAATAGACCCGATAATGTGGGACCCACTTCATTATGAGTCGGTGATGTAAAATTGATTAAAAATAATAATATATCTATATAACATGACTCAAGTGTGATAATAAAAATAATAATTATTTCATTAAAAAAATAACTTTTCAAACAAATTCTTAAAAATATCATGTCTCAATCCCTTTGCCAAACCAACCACAAGCCAAAGGCATATCAAAAAAATATTTGAAATTATTTAATTCCAGTATGGGCCCTACATGTTTGCCCTATCAAACTAAATGGGAGGTCTCCATGTTGCATTAACTAGTTGAACAGAACAGTATAAAGACAAATAGAAGAGAAGTGAAGACAACTCAAAATAATTACACTTTAATGGAGGTGTAAATGGCTGCAAGGAAAGCTGTATTCCATGCCACAACTTTCACTTGCACCGGACCCAAACCCACTCACACCTCCATGTATCAGTCTCACGTCCCTTGTAGAAAATCACATCACAATACTAAAATGAAACAATGTATGTTCACAGGAAAAATGGGAGACATTCGTCAATGCCCACATGGTGAAGAAGCAATTTGATGATTGTAACAAATACCAGATTGGGGCTCTTTTCTTTGGAAACTTATTAGATACTCCCAATGTACTATATGACATTGCCAGCACACATTGAAGTAGGTCATCCTTTGTCTCCAAACTACTTAACAAAAGTAAGTCAGCATGTCTTGTCCATAATTTTTTTTGTTACATGATTGGTTTGGATAATGCCACATGGTGGTCTAGGTCTATTGAATAATTAACCTTCTATTTCAATTTTTCTTTTGTTTGGCCAAACAATGACAAAAGGAGAGTTGCAGGAAAATGAATCCCACATTAGTAGCAGATCATTTTTTTTTTGGGTCCGGGAACCTACTAGATGAATATAAATTTTATCTCGAAGCAGGCAAAAGAGTCTAACCCTCTTGGTTGCTCGTGAATACGTATCCTTGAGGAAGTATAGCCTTCTAAGCTCCATTTCCACATAAATGGAGTCTATTGGGTCACCTTTAAATAGCAAGAAGAAGTAGGTTCTGTGGACCAATGACACATTGCAAACATCCCAAAGTCCAATAATTTTTTTTTGGAGCCTCTTGAATTCTGAGGGCCAATTTGAAAGACTCTTCGAACTATCCAAAAATTTAAATATAAAATTACAAACAAATTGCATTTGCATCCGCCACTAGTATATATATGCACACTCATATATATGCAGGTCCTAAAGGGGGAAAAGATAGAAACACA